GAAGGGAAAAGGTAGAAGGAGAGAGAGAGGGGAAGAGTGAGAATGGAGAGGGGGAGAGAAGTAGTGTGAAGAGGGGGAAAGAGAGAAAGGGAATGTATAGAGATGGGGATAGTGAGAAAGAAAAAGGGGAAGAGAGAAGTGAGAGTGAGAAGAGAGAGGGAAGAGAGAGTGAAGGGAAGGGTAGGAGAGGGGAGAGTTAGAAGGAAAATGGGAAGAGAAGAGAAGAGGGAGAGAGAGTGAGAGAGAGAGGGGAAGAGAGAGTGAAGGGAGAGGGTAGGAGAGGGGGAGATTAGAAGGAAAATGGGGAAGAGAGAGAGCAAGAGAGAGGGAGAGGTTAGAGAGAATGAGAGAAGAGAGGGGAGAGAGAGTTAAGGGAAGGGTAGAGAGGGGGAGAGGTTAGAAGGGAAAAATGGGGAGAAGAGAGCAAGAGAGAGTGAGAGAGAGAGGGAGAGAGGGAGGTAGAGAGGAGATTGGAGGAGAGAGGGAGAGTGAGAGAACAAAGAGAGGGGGAGAGAGAGGGGGAGAAGGGGGAAAGACGGGGAATGGAGAGGCGAGAGGTGAGAGAGAGGTTAGGGGAAGGGATGGAGGAGGGAGAGAGATGGGGAAAGGGAGAGGGGAGAGATGGTTAGAGGGGGAGAGATGTTAGAGAGGTGAGGTGTTTAGAGTAAGAAGGTAGAGGGAGAGTTGGAAGAGGAAGAGAGGGAGAGCGAAGAGCGAGGTTTCAGATGGACAGTTCAACAGGACGGTGTGAAATCCTGATGTATGTGTGTTTTGCATGTGTAACTCAGGCTTACAAGTGCTTGTTCTGGTTGTGTGTGTGGGTTGTTGTGTGTGTGTGTGTGTGTGTGTGTGATGTGTGTGTGTAATGTATGTGTGTGTGTGTGTGTGTGTTGTGGTGTGTGTTATGTGTGTGTAATGTATGTGTATGTTGGTATTGTGTGTGTTTGTGTATGTGTCATTGGTGTGTAATGTGTGTGTGTGTGTGTGAGTGTGTGTGTGTGTGTTGGTGTATGTGTGTGTATGTTGTTGTGTGTGTGTGTGTTATGTGTGTGTGTGTGTGTGGTATGTGTGTGTGTGTATGTGTGTGTGTGTGTGTGTGTGTATGTGTGTGTTTGTATGTGTGTGTGTGTGTGTGTGTATGTTGTGTGTGGTATGTGTGTGTGTGTTGTGTGTGTGGTATTTGTGTATGTGTTATGTGTGTTGGGTGAGTGTGTTGTGTGTGTGTATGTGTGTGTGGTGTGTGTGTGTGTGTGTGTGTTGTGTGTATTATGTGTGTGTGTGTATGTGTGTGTGTGTGTTGTGTGGTGTTGTATGTTGTGTGTGTGTTGTGTGTGTGGTGTATGTGTGTGTGTTGTGTGTGTGTGTGTTGTGTTTGTGTGTGTGTGGGTGTGTGCCCCATTCAAAGTTTTTCATATATAATAAATCCCGGTAGATCCAGTAATTCAAAAGCTTACCAATACTTGAACACTTAGTTTTTCTATTTTAAAAATTCGAAAGTAGCTAGGTTGAAATTTAGTTGTCTAGTTAAGGTTACTTTTCTCCCCTACCCTTTACCCCCTTGCACCCCCTTATGCTATTTTACTCAAATTCTGGCAATGGTTGCGGATGAGTGCCGAAATCTAACGGAGCGGCCCCGCTAAATCTTGCAAAATGCAACCTAACAGGTGAAATACTTGCGCGACAGGGTGTGATGAAAGTTCCCAAAAGCTGATGAGTAGCGTCGTAATAGGCCTTCTTCACTTTTTTGAACCCCCTTCACCTTCCCATATTGCTAAATGCACCCGCGCCCTAAGTAAATTTCATTTTCACTTTTTACAGAAACACTTCACTTGGGTGTTACACCTTATATTTTAATGGTCAGACTGTTGTACGTCATTTGCTTTCGTGGGCCTATGCCCCCTTCCCCTTTTGTAATTTTTTTTTTTTTTCTTTCCCCTTTTGCTTTTTAAACTTTTTCACTCTCAATTAGGTCCCCCAATTTTACTTTTAAACCAAACGGGGGTAATTTTTGATCACCCTTTTCCACATACTTTGATTTTTTATGCTTTATTGGTGGAACAGTGCCTAGTAATCCAAAAACGGTTTTGGCACTTTTAAAAAAAATACTAAATTTGGGTTCCCCCCCTAAATTTTTTAACTAATAACAAGTTTCACTCGAGGTTTGTTCACTGACTTGTCCTACCACTGATTACTTAGGGTTTTTACACGCCCAAAAACACGAAGGTTCTCGGGCCTTGTGTACCATCTGCACCCACATGTGTGTGTGTGTGTGGTGTGTGCTGTGTGGAGAGAGAGAGAGACAGAAAGAGAGGAGAGTAGCAGTGGCGGGGATAAGATGAATAAACCTTTATAATCAAGGTTCAAAAGGCCGGGTCGCTGTTGTGTTGTTGTTCTGTTGTTGCTGTTTCTGTTGTTTCTGTTTTTTTTGTTTGTTTGTGTTGCTGTTGCGTTGGCTGTTTTGTTGCTGTTGTTGTGTTAGTTGTTGCTGTTGTTGCGTTGTTGCTGCTGTTGCTGCTGTTTTTTCTGTTGTTGTGTTTTTGTTGTGTTTTCGTTTTTGCTTTGTTGTTGTGCTGTTGGCTGCCGGGGGCCCTGTTGTGCTCCCTTTTTTTACCCCTGTCATTAGAGTGGTTTCCACGGGGTGGAGTGAAGAGTGCTGCAGGCAGCAATAAGAGGAAGTGGACAAGTATGTCCCCAAATGTCAGAAAAACCAGGGTTTGGATATGTGGGCAGCGGGCCCCCCCAGCAACAGCTGGGTTTATCAGGCAAGCACCCGATAGCGTGGCCCATGGCCGGGGTCAAAAGATTTAAAACTCTCGAAACTCATCAAAGGTATATAGTGATATGGCCCCGGATACGTTTTTACGAGATTAATTAAAAGCTCTAGTCCCGTCTACTAAATTTCCCCGGAGAAAGAATGGA